GTCCTCATTTCATCGCCCCTCCTGTAGCTGTTGTGGTGAGCTCAGGAGTTGCAGGTATCCCTTAAAATGCTCTGTGATGCTCATCGCCTCTGCGTGAACTGTTCATCTGTCCAGTAAATTGTGTGTTGCAGTAAAAGGTGTTCTCTTACGGCTCTTGTGTATTTTACATTGTGCCTAATATAATACCGTAAACCTTGAATTACACTATGGGGCCCATAGGAAGTGCCCCTAGAGATGCTGAACCTTCTCCCAAGAAGCAGAGAAAGCCACAACTTTACAAAAAAAGCTGAATTGCTGTCAGTCGGCTGACATTTCAAGATAAATGAATCCAGTGTAAGAAATAGTGTAACAAAAGAAAACTCGTGAAACCACTGCTGCAGCTACGCCAGCAGGCAGGAAAACCTAGCACGTTTTGTTAAATCCTTTTTAATCTCATATTGCAAATGAAGCTTTTATGTGAGTACAGTATTGCTATAAGAAAGACATACCTATAAACTCTAATATGATTCAAGAAAAAGTGAAGTCATTATCTGACAACTTAAAGCAAAAGGAAGGTGAAGGATGGTTTGATAATTTTAGAAAGAGATTTGGCTTTAAAAGTTCAAGATAACAGGAGAAGCAGCTTCAGCTGACCAAGAGGCAGCAGATGAGTTCCCAGACAGCATTAAGAAAATCACTGAGGGCCAGGCATGGTGGCTCTCACCTGTAATCCCAGCACTTTGGGAGGCTGAGGCAGGTGAATCACCTGAGGTCAGGAGTTTGAGACCAGCCTGGCTAACATGGTGAAGCACTGTCTCTACTAATACTACAAAAAGTAGCCAAGCATGGTGGTGGGCACCTGTAATCCTAGCTACTTGGGAGACTGAGGCAGGAGAATTGCTTGAACCTGGGAGGTGGAGATTGCAGTGAGCTGAGATGATGCCATTGCACTTCAGCCTGGGCCCTATTCTTAGGAAAAAACATTCCACAAAGGACATTTATTGGTAAGGAAGAGAAGGAGCACCAGGACTTGGAAAGGGATAGATCAACTCTGCTGGTTTGTGCAAATGCAGCTGAGCTTGTGATCAGAACTGCCCTTATCCATAAAACTGAACCTTGAAGGGAAAAGATAGACATCACCTGCCAATCTTTTCATTGTTTATTAAGAAAGGAGGACAGTGAGAACCTTTTCCTGGATTGGTTCCTTTGATACCTTGTCCCTGAAGTCAGAAAGTACCTTGCCAGTAAGTGACTGCCTTTTAAAGTTCTCTTGGTATTATGCAATGCCCCTGGCCACCCAGAACCCCCTGAGTTTAACACCAAAGGTGTCAAAGTGGTCTTGCCCCAAAACAATGCCTCTAATCCAGCCTCTAGATCAGAGGCTTATTACACGTAGAACTCTATGGAAAGGGTTGTTAATGCTATGGAAGAGAACTTTGATAGAGAGAACATCATGAAAATCTGGAGAGACTGCACCAATGAAGCTGCCATTAGCGTTACAGGAAAAGCCATGCAGACCATCAGCCCTGAAACAGTTTCCACTGGAGATAACTGTCCAGAGTTGTTCATGACATCACAGGATTTATGACAGGGCCAATCAAGGAAATCATGAAGAAATCGTGGCTATGGCAAAAAAAGTTTCAAGGTATGGATCTTGGAGAAATTCAAGAGCTAACAGACACCACACCAGAGGAATTAACAGAAGACCACTTGATGGAGAAGCCTTACCAATAACATAAACAATTACCATACATTTTATGTGCTATATGTATTAATGGTTTATTCTAACAATACAGTAAGCTAAAGAAAAGAATGTTATTTAAAAAATTGTCAGGAAGAGAAAATATATTCAAACCAATACCGGACAATAAGGAAGAAGACATAGAAGAAGCAGTGCCAGGAAACAAATTGACATTAGACAATGTGGCAGAAGGATCCTGATGACTCAATGCTTTTGACATCTTTCACAACATGGATGCTTTTATGATACAGGCACTGAAACAAAAGCAAATGGTGGAAAAAGGATTGGTACTGTATGGAAAAATGTTTAGAGAAATGAAAAAGCAAAAATGTCAGGCAGAAATTATGATGTGTTTTTGTAAAGTTAGATCAAGCAAGCCTGCTTCTGCTACATCCCCTTCCACCTCCTCCACCTCTTCTGGCTTGGCCGCCACTGAGACAGCAAGATCAACTTCTGCTCCTCCTCCTCCACAGACCACTCAACATGAAGATGTTGAGAATGAAGACCTTTATGAATAGTGAATATATTTTCTCTTCCTGATAATTTTTTAAATAACATTTTCTTTTCTTCAGCTTACTGTATTGTTAGAATAAACCATTAATACATATAGTATATAAAATGTATGGTAATTGTTTATGTTATTGGTAAGGCTTCTAGTCAACAGTAGGTTTAAAGTTTTTGGAGAGTCAGAAGTTTCATGTGGATTTTTGACTGCATGAAGGGCCGGCACTCCTAGCCACCACGTTGCTCAATGGTCAACTGTGTATCAGACTTTCATTTGTAGACTTTACTTCAAAACCTGCTTACTCATTGACAGAATAATTGGGAAGGCCTAAATCTAAAGGACTCATTCTTACATTAAAATGGTTTGTTTTTGTTTTGTGATTATTTGCTGAGCAGAAGCTCCTTTGATGCAGTCCCATTTATTTACTTTTGTTTTGTAGCCTGAGCTTTTGTTGCGACATTCAAAATATTGCCAAGGTCAATGTTGAGGTGCTTTTCCACTATGTTCTCTTCTAGAAGTTTTATGATTTTTGGTCTTTCACCCATTTTGAGTTGGTTTTTGTGTATAGTAAAATAAAGGTCCAATTTCATTATTTTGTGTGCAGAAATCCAGTTTTCCTAACACCATTTGTTAAAGAGATTATTCTTTCCTGATTATGTTCTCGATGGCTTTATTGAAAATTAGTTGTCCATATATATTTAGATTTATTTCTGAGCTCTATACTCTGTTTAATTGGTCTGTGTTTTTGTTTTTCTGCCAGTACCACATTGTTTTAGTTACTATAGCTTTGTAATATAATCTTAAATCAAGTATGATGCCTCCAACTTCATTTTTCTTAAATGAAAAAGCAACCTATGGGCTGGGAAATAATTATTTGCAAACCACATATCTGATAAGGGTTTAATATCCAACGTTTATAAAGAACTCTTGCAACTCAATAGCAGAAAAACAAATGACCTGATTAAAAAATGGGTAAAGGACCTGAATAGACATTTCTCCAAAGACAACATAAAAATGGCCAAAAAGCTATATGAAAAGGTGCTCCTTTTCATATATGATTAGTGCACATCACTAATCATAAGGGAAATGCAAATTAAAACCACTGAGCTAGTACCTCATACCTGTAAGAATGGCTGTTATCAAAAAGACGAGATAGCAAATGTTCGTGAGGGTGCGAAAAAAGGGAACTGTGTGCACTGTTTGTAGGAATGTAGGTTGTTGCAGCCACTCTGGAAAACGCCATGGAAAACATTGACAATAGAACTACAATATGACCCAGTGGTCCTCCTTCTGGTATATACTCAAAGGAGAGAAAATCAACATCTCAAAAGTCATCTGCCCTCCCATGTTCACTGAGCATTAGTCACAACAGCCAAGCTATGGAAACAACCTAAAAACCCATCAATGAACAAATTAATAAAAAATATGATACAGGAGTGTGTGTGCATATGTGTATACACACACGTACACACAATAGAATATTCAGCTTTTCAAAAGGAGAGCTTGCCATTTGCCACACTGTGGATGGACCTGGAGGACATTATGCTAAGTGAAATAAACCAGACACACACACACACACACATACAAAGCTGCAGGATCTCACTTCTGTGTGAAATCTGTGTCTTAACCAGAGCTCAAAGACACCAAGATAGATGATGGAAGTGTGGTTAACGGGATAGGCGGGGAGGGGGAGGAAATAGGGAGATGTGGGTGAAAGGATATGAAACAGCAGATGCTAGGATGAAGAATTCCCGGTATGTAACATGCAACACAAGTGCTAAAGGTAATGAAACCATAGTATATTAGGGATTTTCGTGAGCTACATAGATTTTAGCTGTTCTTGTCACAAATAAAATTAGCGATATGAGATGATAGATACACGAATGTGCCTCACTACAGTTATCAGTACTATTATCTTCATATCTGTAGGTATGGATCCCATAAGATCATGTTACAAACTTCAAGTATACATAATACACTTAATTAAAAAAAATAGTAGGTTTTTGTGGGAAAAGAATCAACTTTGACACCTTCTGCTGCAGTGTGACATTGCTCTTTATTACTAGTAGGCTTTTGAAAATATTTGTTGATATACTTTGTTACTTAATGATGAGCTCATCTTTCAATTCTATCAGAATGGTATCTGATAACAGAGTTTGTCTGTGAAATAAAATATTTGATGGCAATTCTGGATGTATATTTCCAGAATTGTTTGTGTGTGTGTGCATATATACATATATACACACATACACAATTAGAGAAGAACTTATTTATCAACAGCTATAAACATCTAAGTATTTGAATTGTTTAAATTCTAAGCTGATGAGTAGGAAGGAAAGTATATTGTATGTAGCTATCAAGTTTATGGGGGAGGACAATAGTGCATCTTTTATTTCTTCATTCAATTTGGAAATTCAAGGTAAGGTTGAATTACAGAATCTATACTCCTTCCTTAAAATTAGTTATCAAACATAAGCATATATTTAAAACTGTTCACAGGATACTATGGAGGCTTTTGATGTAAATAAAAAGTATGACATAAGTTCACTAAGATGTTAAAAATCTACAAGACAGAAGAGGAAAATATGCCTATTTTATAAAGCTAGTTCCATAAGTTGGATGACGTTTTGTCAGCCATCTTGGTTGTTGCTGTTGCATTTCATCAATGACACTAATCTATAGACTAATGTATATACTGTCTTTCTGCTCTGTGTAGCTTATAGCTGATTACTGACTCTGAGTTAACATGGCACACCTGGTCATCTTGTCTTGTAGGCTTACATGTATGAAATGGGCTCCAGCACGTTTTCTCACCGGCTGGCTGGGCACACAGACATCGTCACCGGAGTGGCCTTCAACCCATCAGCACCCCAGGTACAGTCTTGCTGAGTGGGCGGGGCACCTCTGCTGCACACAAGTCTTACATTATATATTTTTATCTTTATGACTTCATTTTGGTGAAATCTTACAGTATTTAAGGTTACATGCCAGTGTTCACTGACTACAGGGAGAAATTGGGAAACAAACTTCTACTGGGGAGAAAAAGAAAGAAACCTTTATTGTAGGAAAATGAATCTGGAAAAGTTTCTTTATAATGAAGGTGTTTGCCACTCAGCACTCGTGCATGTTTGATCCGAATGAAACAGGAATGTATGGGAAGACTCATGGACAAATACAGTTACATGGGGCACTAACATGGACACCAGTGCCAGCAAAAAAGCAAGCAGCAGAGCAGGTAAGAACAGGATTTTGAAAATTCTTATGGAAAAAAGACCACAACATTTCCAGAAACTTTCTTAATTAGAAAAAAACATGAAAATAACAATTGCAAATCAATTGTATATAAAAATTAATGGTCTTCTGTTAAATGTATAGAGAGATTTTTAGCAAAAGATTAAAAATATTAGATATTGGCCAGGCATGGTGGCTCACACCTGTAATCCCAACACTTTGGGAGTCCGAGGCGGGTGGATCACCTGAGATCAGGAGTTCAAGACCTGCCTGGCCAACATGGCGAAACCCTGTCTCTACTAAAAAATACAAAAATTAGCTGGGCATGGTGGTGGGCACCTGTAATCCCAGCTACTCTGGAGGCCAAAGCAGGAGAATCTCTTAAATCTGGGAGGCGGAGGTTGCAGTGAGCCAAGATCGCAGCACTGCACTTCAGCCTGGGCAACAAAATGAGACTGTCTCAAAAAAAAAAAAAATTTAAAAAATAAATATTGGGTATTAATTAATCTCCAGTGTTTGGGAATAATTTCATTTTGTCTCTTTAAGAATGAGGCTTTGATTCAGAGAATAGCGTCATTCTGTGACTGTGTGCTCTGGCCTAGTGAATGTGACCAGGTGGAACGGCACTCTACATGTGTCTTGTGACCCCGTTCAGGGCACGTTGCAGTGCCTGGCACAAGTGGTCCTGCCACTGTGTACTGAATGTTGAAAATGAGTAAGTGCATCTTTGTTATCACGGACTAGAGTTCCCATCAGCACTGTGGTTTGAAGGCTTCGAGATACTCCAGAGTTCCATCCTTGGCCCTAATTTATCTTTTCAGTTTGCTGCAGATGAGAATTTGAATTTAAGTTTTCCTTCCCTATTATAAACAATACTGAAAAGTACATCTTGATGATGCTTTACACTTCCCATGATGAGACTGTGCCATGTACACTGTAAAGCACCTGCTTTTCTAGATAATACTTGTGCCATCACCTATTTCTGCATTTTTAAAATGTACTGTTTTGTGTTGTATTCTTTTTTAGTCCTTTGAACAGCATTTGGGCAGTGAGATGGAGGAGTGGTCAGGAAAGAAAGATGAAAAGTGCAAAGCTAGACCCAGCAGGGTGGACGGCGGGGAGTGGTATAGTGATTTATGGGGGGAATCAGATGTTAGTTGTCTTGACACTTCAGTATTTGGCATCAAAATGTCTTTTAGCCTGATTAAGGGAATTTTTTTGACTACTTGAACATTTTCAATGAAAAGTTGTGTAGGTCTCTACTGGCCTTGAGATTAATGAATAAAAGAAGTAAATATGGTGTAAATATCGTTCTAAGAAAGAAAGAGGAAAAAGCAACAAGTTGTAGTTGTCATGAACCTTGCTTCTTGATGAAGGGCTGCTAAAGATTAGGCAGAGAGAAGCCAGTTATGTATACATATTCATCATACTGATTCATTAAACATAATGATATAACACTGAATTATATATATATATTTCACTAAGTTCATTATACTTATTCATGTATATAGGAGTGAGTATAATTATTGGTTCTTTGTTAATTTTTTAAAATTTCCTTTCTTTACTGATATTAGTCCACTTTCTTCCACATATATCACCTCACTACTGTTCCTCTGTTTCCCAGCATTGTAAATCAAACAACTGGAAGTATTTCAGTTGTTATTCAGTTGTTATTTAAATGGTATTAAAATAATTATTATGACAACAATAACTTTTAAATTATGTTTGCTGATCATGTAGGTTTTCTCAGGTTTGGACAGTATTAGTAAGTATTGAAGAGACAGTTAACCACATAAAATTGAGTAAAAGTTAAGATTTGGAAACAACAGGCCGGAAAAATTTTTGTTAAAAGTAAACATGATAAAGAAGCACTTGGGATGGAGGGACAGGACACTGAAAATCTTCTCCTTCACAAAGGCAATGAAAACAGTAACAGTAATTGTCAAAACCTGCTTCCTTAGAACTCTGAAATTAACCAGAGGCTTGCAACAATCCAAAGAACATGTATGAAAGAAAAATGGCTGAGTCTCAGTAAAACAGCACCCTTTGAAGCCTATCCTGCATAATTTAATAAACAAGGAGAGCTTCACTTTAAAATCAATACCATTGGGTAGCAAGTAAAGTTCTCATGTGAAGCACAGGTAAACTTGGAGGTAAACTCATATTTAATATGTGATTCCATTTTACAGTATATGAGGGTGCTGCTGTTTTGAAGGAAAGATTGACAGTACTCTCCTAAGCATGGTGTATCTTGTTTATGATATAAAAACACACATACAAGGAAAACACGGGAACAAGTATGGTCAAATGCTGGAAGTCTGTGCCACAAACACCAACAGCATTTCCCCTAACAATCGGATCTGGGTAATGAGAGAAATATTGGAGCTGTGAAAATTGGGGAGTGAAGCAGTGAGAGCACAGGTCATACTTGGGGAATTGCTACTTTCTTTATTGATTATCAACTATTCACAATTTTATAGAACAGGTCCAGACCTGATGCAGGAAATCCCAAAATTGGGGCTTACCCTGGGAGGGTTCTTGGCTTTGCTTAGGGAAGAATTCAAGAGTGAGCTGGTAGTGAAAGAAAGCAAGTTTTTTAAAGCAAAGTGTGCAGCAAAACAGCAGTTGCACAGACAGAGCAGGGCCACGCCACTGGTGGAGCTGCTGGCCGCAGCACATGTGGGTTGCTGGTGGGCATAGTTATACCCACTCTTAATTATATGCCAAATAGCGGGTGAGCTATTCATGAACTTTCTGGAAAAGGGGTGGGAGTTCCCAGAACCATAGACATTAACGTCTGGGTTGTTTCCATGCATTTGTAAACTCTCACCGTGTCAGTGAGAGCGTCTTATGCAGATGAATTATAATTCGTGCATAATGGATAATGAGGGCAACCAGAGATTTGGTCCCAGCTGGTTTGGGCCAGTTCCTGCGCTACATCCTGTTTTGATCAGCAGAGTCATGACCTAGGCTCTGGAAACAAGCCCTGCTGACCCCTGCCTCAGACCCTGTAATTGTTAATTTCCGATGGGTACTTGTTAATGTTCTCTTTTATATAAATTTGATTTAAAATATGTATCTTATGATAAATAAATTTTTAGCTCCACAGTCACTACTGCTACTTTGAAGTGGGCTGTTTTGTTAGATGGTTTAAGTTTCTCTAATCTACCTCCACATTACAGCCTCGTCAAATGATCAGACCTTTCATTTATGACTTCATCAAGTTTTTCTTGATAAAATATACAGGTGGTCATTGCAGGATGACATCTGATGCCAGGAGTAAGCAGGTTTTGGGAATGGCCAGTTCACTATTGACTGTTGTAACCTGGTGGAAAAATGTCACAGAAGCACACCTGATGCCACTGACACCCAGCTTGTGGTGACCTTTGCAATCAGGAGAAACTCATGGAAATCGGCTCAGCCAGGAGGCAGACTCTGGCTGCTGCCACGTACCTAGGGTGCTGGTGAGAGTCCTTACATTACGGACCCGGAGCGTGATGATATCTACTGCAGCTCCCACTTCTTATTCCTTCTTAACACGGGTGTCTGTCAGGCTGTAGACGTCTCGATCTCTCTGAGTCTCTCAGACACAGATGGTCACTAATAGCATTTGTCTGTATTCTACAAGGTTGCTTGGGAGTAAATGATGCCATATAAAATAATAACCAAAGCCACTGTTGAGCATCCCCCAAGAATGAGGAGCTGTTTGAGCGTCTTTCCTCATATTATCTAGTTCTTGTCAGTAGCTCTGTTTGCAGTGTTAGTGCAGCTGTGTCTCAGATGAGAGTGTGGGGATGCAGACACATCAGTTTATATGCAGAGTTTGTACCAGCATCCCGACGGCTTCCAAGCCCACACACTTAAGCCCCACTGTGAGCTTCTGTGCGGGAAATCTGTTAAGCGCTGCACACATTTGTAATGAGATAAAATACATTGTTTTTGCTATTTGCATTTAAATATTTAAAGTTCTTTTTGAAATTGTAAAAAAAAAAAAAATCTAGATAGACTTGACATTAATCCAAAATGCAGGCCTGTTTTGCAAGTCCTTCCTGGGCGCTGAAACAACTTCCTGGCCTCTCACATTCACAAGAGGACTTTCTGGAAGATAAGCCTTGCCATTGTTTTTATTTCCCAAATGGCAGCCCACACTGTGGCTATGGATAAGGAAGTAAACTTTATGCTGACCTCTTACCTAATGCACGGTGTAAGCACCGTTATTTCGGGACCCTGTCACACTTTCACAGAGCGTGCCTTCCAGCCTGAAATCTCAAAAGGACCCGCGTTTCCTCACCAAGCATACTCCACGGGTTAGCACTGGGGAGTGACGACACCAACGTCCCAGCAGGAGGATAAAACACATGTTAGAGAAACGCGTTTCGTGGAATCAATAAGCGATAGACGGATGGAGGGAGAAGGAGAGGAATTTTTTTTAACGTGAATTGGCCCACGCAGTTGCAGAGGCTGAGAAGTGCCACGATCTTCCGTGTGCAAGCTGGAGCCCTAGGAGAGCTGGTGGTGGTGTTCCAGCCGGAGTCCGAAGGCGTGAGAATGGGGGAAGAGTTGCGGGTACTGAGTCCCAGCCCAAGGGCAGAAGACCAGAGTCCCGGCTCCAACAGGCAGGCAGAAAGAAAGCAAATGGTTTA